TCCCGACATGGGAGAGACGTGAGGGAGGTGAATGACTTCATCCGAGTGGTCGGACAGAGCTTCATCCACTTGTACTGTCCGGTTGGTTGGGTTGGATCAAAGACGACCAACTCAACATCTCACGAATTCCTACGGTCCTCCGTGGTTCGGCAATGTGGTCGTGTAGGTGCCCGAAGATGTCGTGCGTGTATCTGCATGCCAAAGTCACGGCCTGGTCAGACTGGTGTGGACTGGACAAAAAAGAAACCTTTTTCCCCTGGCCTATGGGATTTCTGGGTCTCCCGGCCTCTCCATCCCTTCTAGCCGCTTCTTTCTACTCCACTGGCCTCGGCCTGGACATCTGTCCCTCTGCATTTGTCTCTCTGCCGTGGCTGGCCCGCTTCCTACTGGCCGGTGGGGACGGTAATTTCTGTTGAGTCGTCCATTCCTTGTCCAGCCTGCTTCTGCTTATCCTGTCAACTCGTCCATCCGTACAGATAACTGTGAAAATGCGCACTAACCGGCAATCAATGTATCCTAGTATGAAAAGTGAATTTCCCCACATTATCACATACAAATCATACACAAATCACTGCACGCATGCATTTATGCATATCTCGTGTATGCACTTATTTGCAAGCACACGTACAGCTTAGGATTACATAGTTGATGGCAATTTGAGGTTCTACTAGAAGAAAGATTTTGTTGTCAGGCGGCCGAGTGTCGACATAACTCCACAAAGAATTAAACTGTATCCTTGATTTGGTATTGAAAGATTTTGGGCCATAGTAGCCCAAAGAACTCTTATCATCTGCTTATAGCCACCTTTCGTTGGATTAAAATCCTGAAGGTGTGAATTCTTAGGTTGGAACTTCAGTCTAGACTGAGAGATAACGGCATCTTTGGATGCATATTGTATTCGATGCAGTGTGTAATGAATCGTAAGCATTTCATAATCAAGCCTAAAAATTGATACAGCTCAGCTATATGGGATAGTTTATCTGGCCGACCATTCGGGAAAGTGGGATAGTGCTTAGTTGAGATTGCGCTTTTGAGTTCGGCAGATGAGAGGGAATATAAAATATAAGAGACTGTAATAACAAAAGGCCCTTGATATTTCCTTAATCTGCCAGAAATCGAGGATAGTCTTCTATGAATAGTCAAATGAGTTGCCCTATATAATGCCTAGAAGGTAGAAGATAATAAAGTAGCTATCATACAATGTCCCCTAGAATCAGGCTTGCAAAATTCAGTGAATTCAAATAATCTTTTGTTTCTAGGTCGGTTTTCGAGACTACCAGTAGCTTATATAAATGAGCTGTATTTAAGCTATTTCGCTTAACGTAATGAAGGAGTGGTAGTTGAATTTTCCCAATGTAATATGAGTAGACATTACATCTCCATTGACTTTTGCATAACCTTGCTTCCAAAAAGGTTATGCCAACCCCACCAGCGAAACTCGAACCGAAACTAGAATCAACCTTGAATGAGAATACCTTTGGGGAAGAACGGCTATGTGAAATTCATTGAGGGAAAATTTAAATACCATTCCTTCATCATCTTAATGAAATATGGAGAATATAGCTCAAACATATATGCTCTATTTGTAGTCGAGAAAACCGGCTTAGAAACGGAAAGTTTATGATGCAATAGCAAATACAACTTTGCGTCATCGACAATCCCACTAGATAATGTGATATGGGAAAATGTCTGGTCTTCTTTGAAGCTAGCATCTGCTCTGTGACCTGAGGGTAATTGTGGCAATTTGTCGTAGCGGTTTACGTGTCTAGATTGTACGTTGCACTATCATGGTTATAGTCCCAATGGAGGTACCTAGGAGACCTCCCGAGGTCGAAACTGCAGTCTATTCCTGCCTGAATGAAAGTAACTTTTTAGAAAGAAAAGCTATATGAAATTCAATGGAAAGGTAAGGGCTTATCATATCGTCATTCAACTATCAGTCCTAAAATGATATTTCGACTTATGCAAGTGATATAGTAAGACATATTGCTTAAAGTGTAAGTTAATTACCGGACAATACAATATTATATGCCCATAATATCACCTTATCTCTAGTCTACTTTTGTCGCTATCTTCGCCATTCCTCATGAATTTCTTCACCAGTTGCTTTTTAAGATCAAACTCGTTTTTATGAAGGTACAGGAGATCTGGATCTACCAGTCAAGATGAGACTTAATTAAGCATTCCTTCAAATGCATTCGGCAAAGTCAAGTTGTTAAGTGATGCAATTGCCTATTATTCGGAGGTTTATCTATGATGGTGTATAAAAAAACGATTAGGAATATACTGGAAGGGGCAGCGATAAAGATGTATCTGAGAATGGCTTCAGTCAAGTTGGCGGCTTTATTTGCAGGTCCTTTATGAGCCTGAATTATCACTGAAAATTTGACTCCCCTAATCACAATAGTATGACTCTTCTTCATTTATTCTTGCCTGCAATTTTCCAATTTCAATTAATTTGCATACAACTTTGTATGTATTTATCAACTATTATATCAGATATAAGAGGTTAAGTCAAGTATTGGGATATAAAGTAATGTATGTTCCAAATATCACCTTATCCCTAGCCAAGATTATTTTATACCTTAAGCATTCCTGAATTATATCACAAAAACTACATGATATATATTATTTTTGCTCAGGAGAAATTTGATGTATTCGCAAACGTTTTGATAATTTAGCGCAAGCATGGCCTGTAGGTAACTAACTCCAGGGAATAAAGTATGGATGATTAAATTATTAAACTTCCTTTGTTTATGTCATGCTTCCTTAGTTTACGAGAAATATAAAGAAAAGAATGTGATGAAACCCTAAGAGTGAATTTATAAAGAGTCCATACAATAAAAGTAATGAAATATTCCTTATTAATGTCATCTAAATGATCAGGTAGTGCTATTGTAAATACGAAGAAAAGCGGATTTCGAGGAATTTCATGAGATAACATAGTTGTGGAGAAGTTACTTTCGCATAAAATCGCATCACGAATAAATTCAGAGTCGATGTACTTCAGATTTTTTTGCTCTAATACAATCTCCAGATGGATACAGTCCACGAAACATCCTCCCTCGTTTCGGGTAAATGGTTGACGAATATCGTCAGAGCTGGAACTCATTCTTGCTGACGCTTTAATTTCACCTGGAACAAAGGAGGAGATTTTGTTAATTGCGTCAATCTGAACGTCGTATTTAAGCCCAAAAGCTTCAGAACAACTGGAATCAGCCGTCCTCTTCCGGTGAGTTTGACCGACGACTCTCTTCATCATGCACTTTAATGCAAAGTAAATTCGCCATAATTAAATTTATATTTTCTCTGAACTGACCTTTATGCCTCGTTGAAAATGGGGCGATACATGGTCTGCCACAAAAGTCACGAAACTCTACTCCCAACTCGGGACTAATTAATCTAGAATTAGCTGCTTTAACAGCCTCATTTTAGTGTTCTCTGGATTTAAATTAAGAAGGCCCAAATAAATTGTAATTTTGTTCACCATTCTCCCACCGTCTTTACGAGAACCTTCAGAAGTGATAAACTCCGATTCGCTAACACTGATTATTATGCAACTTCCAAAGTCTGGGCAAATATTAAGTTCATCGAAATTTAAGTACATTCCCTACTTGTAATGACACATTCTTTTGCGAATAATTATTTGCATACTCGCTTAAATTTGTTGAATAGGTAATAAAAATATCAGAGCAATTAAATTAACACTAAGAGTCATCTAATATGATACAGGAAATGATATCAAGTTTGGTGATGCCATGCCCCATGTAGCAGGATCAAAAAGAGGAACCAGAGACAAATTATCGGTTGTGACATGACTCTCCATTTCGAAGGGACATTTGGTAAGAATGAATTCGTGATGTGGTCTCACCGGAAACCGAAGAAAGATTGCCGCGTAAGGAAGACTGTTGAATTGTGCGAAGAAGTCTTCGACTAACCATTCTGCGACAACAATGAAAGTGTGACAAGATTTCGTCTGTACTACCATGACAGAGCAGGTATCCATGCTTCATGGAATAGAGCAAAAATATACTAAACCTACAGAAAAGGTAACCGGATGCGACCTCATTCGCTTTTTTATACACCTAACTTTGCGATCTTAATGAGGTATCCCATGATTTGGTTGACCACTTCAACCTTACTCTGCATGCTTCAAAAAATTACCCACTAGGATTAGGAGACAATTACATATCTCTCATCTTATTTAATTACACATCAATTATCGTAAACAAGATGAGGGGATATGAAGAGAAACTGGGTTTCGATGAATCCCTTGAGATAACATTGTTAGGGTGACTTTGATTTCGTATAAAAGGACGGATAAATCACGTTACACTCCAGCCGTTCGGCTTTCATATGACATTCAGGTTGAAGCAGTCCATGAGACTTCTTCCCTTCCTTTCGTTCATCATA